TATATATATATATGTAACTCCTTTACAAAAATAACGCTTGATAAAAGAGTTATTATTGAGTAAAGTCTGGTCAATCAGCGCCGATTTTTAGCCGAGCGCACGTCAGTGAGCCGCGCGCCTGGTAGTATGTGGCAACGCACACTTCACGGTGCGCGGCTAAAGATTGACGCTGATTGGCCAGACTTTACTCAATAATAATTCCTTTATTAAGCGTTATAAAAAAAAATGGTTCAAGACTTTTCGACTTATCCACTAAGCCACGCCGCTTAGTTGCTAATCTGTACTTACAGTTCCGTACATAAAGAACACGAGAATTTTCAAACGCGTTTTTTTCGCGAATGCTTGAGAGTTGGGTCGTATTATTTTATCTTGAATTAGTGGGAGGGTAGAACTATAATACTTCAAGCTCGGCGAAATCGGAGGACATAACCTGGTGCTCCTTGTCAGTTTGACCCAATCTACCTCCACCTTTCGTTTGGTCACTTACTTGTCGGACACTCTGTATATAGATATCGAGGCTATTTATCGAAACATATTTTTATTTGAAATTAGAATTGCGATAGGAATTGAAGATTATAAATTATTGTTTTATTAATATGTATATGTTTCGATAAACAGCCTCGATATTTTTACATATCGTTTAACACAAGAGTTAATCATCGTACGAATTAATTACATTAATTAATATCGCAGAGAATGTGTATGTTTAATGCCTCCCGATATTTCTCGCGAATCGAAAAAATACTATGAACTAGTTCGAGTCGCTGAGTGAATGATTGCGAATGACAAAATAAGGTGATCGGCGTGTATGTACACAACACGCAACATACCATAAGAAAAAACTGATTCTATGTTCAAATAATATTTACAATACGTAAGCGCCGAATTTTACAACACATTACATACACATTATTATTACATACACATACATATACATAATTATTTTGCTACAAGAATGGTAAATGCGGGTAAGGCTGCATTCGGGGAGACGCCATTAACGCTATAAACGCAAACGCTACAAACTTTTTTCGGGGAGCCAATAGCGCGATAGCGATAGTAAGCTCCTCAAACGCAGCCAAGTAAAATTCGCAACATGGCGATATCGAGGCTATTTATCGAAACATATTTTTATTTGAAATTAGAATTGCGATAGGAATTGAAGATTATAAATTATTGTTTTATTAATATGTATATGTTTCGATAAACAGCCTCGATATTTTTACATATCGTTTAACACAAGAGTTAATCATCGTACGAATTAATTACTTCTAATAATATCGCAGAGAATGTGTATGTTTAATGCCTCCCGATATTTCTCACGAATCGAAAAAATACTATGAACTAGTTCGAGTCGCTGAGTGAATGATTGCGAATGACAAAATAAGGTATATTTATATATGTATATATCTGTATATATACAAATTAATTTTTTCTAGATATATTATATTTATTCCAAAAATTTTTATGTGTTCTGAGAGAAATAAATTGTATAATTTTAATATATTATCAAAAAAGGTTAAATTACCGCAAAAGGTGTGACGGTAACGAAAAAAACTGTATATTATTTAAGTGTGCTTGAACTGTAACTATAGCAAAGGACATAAAACGTAATATTATAGTTAATTAGCATTCATTGCAATCTTACCTTTGTTATAATGGTACGATAACACCTTGTTCATGCGCGACAAGCTATTATTGTCATTAAACTCAGTCTTGAGAGCATGTAGCGCAAAGGACTGTCCGCCCTCCGCACTTTCCGAAAATGAACTCTCGTATTTGCGGCGTAAGCTATTATCGAACCAATTTCCGAGGATGTATTGCAAAGCGACTGAGAAAGGAACGACATGTTTCCCTCATACGCAAATGCACGTAATTGTGTAGTCAAATGCAATAGCTGAAACGATACTGCCTGACATGAACAGGTTAATGCAATTGCTACCTTACTAACATAGTCTGTGTTGTTGCAGCATCTCTCGAGCAAAGATGAAATAGTTTTCTCTGTTATCTCATTAAATTAATATAAAAAAAAAAAAAAAAAATATACTTACGCGCTATTTATAAATAAGCGATAATAAGCTCCTCAAACGCAGCCGAGTAAAATTGGCAACATGGCCGACGTTGGTGCAAATATAAACGATAAAGCAATAAATGTTATGTTGTTATGTTATGTTTGTTGTTGTGTTATGTTGGGTTATGCCTGCGCAATCAAGTGTTCGAGCATGTTCGAGGAGAGAATAAGCGCCAATCAGTGCTAATAGCATCTTGTGCCTCACCTCGAAAATAATAGCGAGAAATATCTCGAATGATGACGTCACGCTGCTTTTAGAGTGACGTCATCATCGATATACTTACGCGCTATTTATACATATATATGCTTAAAATTCCAGAAATATGTTTCGAGAAAAAGAAAGAGAGAGAAAAGATTTAGCAAAAATAAATATTTTTCTATAGAAGTAGACAGAAGTTATAAGAAGACTCTTAGGCGAAAATTGAAGATTGTACCTTGAGTTATAATCCCTTCGATTCTCACGAAATGCTTGAAGTTTCTACCTACCAACTTAATCTCACGGTTTCAACTTCGAGTTTAGAGAATTGAATAGTATATTAATCTCCTTGAAACTCGGAATATTCACAGAATATCAGTATCTTTGTATATTGCATGTTATACATATATAGTATATTTCAAAGCATTATCCGCTTCATCGGGTGTGCCGCGATTTATTTTGACTATGATTGAACCTCATTGCGATTGTTGCTCGTCTTTCTTCGATTATGCTTTGAAACCCAAAATATAGCAGCATTGCATTTATCAGTGATTGATATCAATATTGTGCATTTCCTTTATGCGCACACTTCGAGATATTACTATACACACTATTATATTGGGTACAACATTGAATCAACATTGTATCTTTGATAATGCAACACGTAGTATCGGATATCGATATGTAAATTACCTTTCGCAAACATTGCATAACAAATAAGTCATTATACACAAAATAATAGATATATGTCTGTAAAAACAAAATAAAATTTGTATATACAGTTTGTATATTTCACTTCTTATAAAACTATAAGAAAATAAATGTTTAAATTTCATAAATGTCATTTAATTTTTTTAAATCAAGAAAGAAAATATATAACTCTATGTGCCATTTTTATTAAGTTTTATTTATTTAAAATCATTCTTCTAATATATTGTTTGCATCTCAAAACAATATTTTTTTCATGTCCTTGATAAAGAAAGTGTAAAATAAAAAGTTAAAATAAAATGATTAAAATAAGGCACAGGATTTTATAATTCAATTTATTAATCATACATAAAAAAATTAGCATGTCGATAATAAAATGTACAGAACTCTGTATATTTATAATTTATATATTTCTATTTATAAGTTATATGTATTGCAGAACACACTCAGATTGGAACATGCGCATGCACTAAGATTCGGACAAAATATCCTCCAGAGTTTTATCATCATGGAGAGGCGAATGTCCCAATGTGGGGTCGCTTTCTAGAAATTCGCGCAATTCGGACTCGAGATCGGTCACGCCGGATGGCTCCGTCGCGCTCAACAGGGATGGCGGCGTCTGACTACTGTGTGTCATACCGATCTGCATCTGAATCGGCGGCGGCGGCGGCTGATTCGCGCCTACAATACTGATATTCTGATTCTGCTGACCAGTCGGACTCAATAGATTCGTATTCTGAATCGGAGAAGTCGGCAGCAGGTTTGACAGCACCTGATTATTTCCATTGTTCGCATTTGGCGGCAATAACGGACTGTCGGCGACTATAGTAGGGTTATGCGTGATCGGTTCGACTTCCATGGGTTCCGGTCCACCCAAGGGTGCTATGCCCATCGCCCTACGCAATCCATCGACTGGCGCAATCCCCGACGGTGGCAGTTTCTTCGCTATGTCGGTCAGATTATCAGTGATCTTCTCGGCCAGCATCACTTCAGCTTCTCCCGCTTTAGGAACATTGGACAGATGTGCCGGTGGTGGCGCTGACAAACGTTCGTGCTGAACTTGTTTCAACCGGCCCAGCATCTGTGATGTGTCATCCAGACGACTCTGTAGAACGGCGCGTTCTTCACTGTATTTAAATTCTTCTTCTGCAAATAGAAAGCCATTTCGTGTAATTAAATAATGCGGAAGAGAACCGACATCAAAGTTATTAAATTATTCTACAATTTATTAAACGAAATAATTTTTCTGTTTTAATAAAACTTGCAGACAATTAATACAAAGCATATATTCAAGGTGAGAAATTCAGAATATAAGCTACATATATTATTGCAAATTAATTTAAAAAGTGTTAAATCGTTTATTTTTATCGATAATCTCATATATAATTACCTAAATTCTCTAAGAAGTTTATGTCGATACCGAGTTCCGAGAGTGTCTTCAGTTGCTCGATATCAACCTTGACCTTATCCAGCGATGAAATGTTACGATTCATGTCCTGTATAGGCTTCTCCAGTATATGCTTGATTTTTTCCTCTTCTTCCTTCAATTTTCGTTTTTCCTCAAGAAACTTCTTCGTCTTTCGATGATCCCCACTTGTGAGAATGTCCAACAGGTCGTCGACCATGGTCAATGTGTAATCACAATCCTTGGCGAAATCCAGAATTGACTCAGCATACTGCACAGCCGTTTCATCGCCGTAAGTCTGATAGACTAAATCGGTTTCCTCCTTGGTAAGATTAGAAAACGTCGAATCATAGCTTGGTGCGTACGAACCAAACGCCCCGTAATACAGCGGTTTCACCGGTTTCGACATGTTTCTACGATCTTCCCGAAATCCGGCCAATGCTCCCGTGCCATGGTTCAACTTGCCTATCAATTGACCTAGCGACACAGGTCTCTGATTGGTTCCAGGAATGATTCCGTCCCCGGGTACAATAATCTGCAAACTGGTAGTGCCGTCTTTCTTCTGTCGCAGAAAACCCATCTTAGAGTTTGCTCTCTTCAGACTGAGTTTCTCCGTCGCCGCTTTGGCCGCTCCTCTTGCTTGCTTCAGTATCTCTTCGGGCGTCAAGTCGTCCGGTATCGCCTCGAATTTGCCTAAACTAGCCAGTCTCATTTTTCTCTGATTTTCCTTTCTGAGTTCTTCTGCCTCCTCATTGCGTTCCTCCTGTTCACGCTCCCGCTCGATCTGCTCCTCCGTTACAGGAACATCTAGATTGTTGGGATCCTCGATGCCCAATTCGAATCCAAGCTCCTCCTTCGTTATATCGTTCATGTACATCAGTACTGGTCTGAGTTGCCGTAATTTCTCGGGAGTGACCATCTTCAAACCGACGTGCAACAGTTTTTTCGCCGCCTTGTAGTAAATAGTATCAGAGTGATTATAAGTCATAGCGTTATCGCACATGAGCTTGAAATCATCTACGAATTCTTGCAGATTCTGATAGTTGTTGTCATCTATCTTTTGTTTTATCGTACTGAAATCCATGGGATTTGTGATTATCTGAGAATAACCGGGCGCGATACTGTCCGTAACTGGCCAAGCGAAAAATTGTTGTGGATCTCGCTTTTCCATTGACCGCAACAAATGTTCCAGCAATCTCTGGAGAGGCGTACGCTCTGCTATTTTTCTGAGAACGCATGTTCTAGGTTCACGATGTGGTGATAGAGAATTTATACTACTAACGCCTACCCTTAATTCGCCACTTGGTGGCGGCCTAAGTGGTAACAACTGATTGTGATTAGTACAGCTCTTCTTAGGTACTGGCTCGGCTAAATTTTCGTCAGCGTCGCCGACTGATTCCTGACTCGATTCTTCTTTTCGTCTCTTCTTGTCTTTATGATGATGTTTATGTCGTTTATCTTTCTTTTTCTTCTTTTTTTTGAGCTTCTTGTGGCCGACATATCTGTCGTACTCTGTGTCTCCTTGACTAACAGAATAATTGAGGCCCAGTTGTTGTTGATAATGTTGCGACAGCATCGTGGCCTGACTCGGCGATTCACTACCGTGTTCAGGCGTTCCAGTACTGCCTCCTACTTTCAAGATTAACTTCAAGCTAGGCGGCTTGTCCGTCGTTGTGTACTGACCCTCTGTTAAAGAAGAAGAAAAAGAAAAAACAGTCAGTTGTCAAAATAAAGCTTTTAAAGCAGCGTACTAAAATCTTTGTTCTCTTTATAAAAGCTATACACATGATCTGCTGTATGCCGCATGCAGCAATCTTGCAGGAAATCTTGCGGAAAATTATGCAGGATAAGAGCATAATATAGCAACACAAGAAATAAGAGACGTCGAGATATGTTACAATGTGTAATATGAAGGTATTGAAAAAAAGTGCAAATTGTAAATAATTATAAAATCTACAGGATACATTAAAAAAGACAAATGGATGGGAAGTATATCGACGATAATATAAAGATGACTTTATTAACAGGATAGTGACCTTGTTTTCACATTCAACAAACTGGAAGCGAGATGGAAGTAGCTCGACTTAAACCAAACAAATCTTAATAGAAATATACATTATAAAATAATTTTCATTGTTACATTAAATCGACTGAATAATCGGCGGGAATAATCAGGGAGAGCAATCATCAAAATTGAAAATACCTCGCTGAGAGGTGAAGCGAAGCATATATGGCTTTCAATGCCACAATACATAACAGCCATAGGAATTATGTGATTGAAGTGCAACAGGTTTGTCTGTGTGTAACTGTCTAAATGTATGTACCTTGTGCCCTATGCATACTATTCTGTTGTAACAACTCTCGTTGCGTAAATCTTGTTGCACTTCAACGAATTCAATGGATAAAAAAAAAATTAAAGGGTTTGGGGCAATTGATAATCTTAGAAGCACAGCTAGCTTCTGTCGTGCAACCAGTCCATGTCCGTTGTTATTCGTCACTTACTTCTACGTCACGCCTGTTGCTGTGGAACGCTTCGTTTATACTTTCGAATCCACCTCACTTTTACTCCAACCTCACTCTCAGTTTGTCCATGGTGAAAACGTAGTCAACATTCCTGTGCATCATTAAACTATGAGTACGAGAAGGATTCCAATGAAAATTTACAGAGTGTAAACTGTATTGAACACCAAAAACTAAAGATCTTAGCTCTTTACTCTGGAGCATTTTCTTTTTCATTCGAATCCTTTTTATGATTGACATATAAGTAGAGTTTGATTTGTGGTGCAATTTGTGATAATGATGCCTCAATAACATATATCCTTACAAATCCTTACAAACCTACATCTAATTCTCTATCTTTTCTTCTGTCTCTCTTGCTCGAAAATTATACTTTTCGGAATATATTTCCTCGTTAACAAAGAGTAAATCATTCTAACAGAAAAGTCCCACTGTTGTTCTTTATCATTTATTCTAATGATTGAGAGTGGATAACAATCAACAACAATTTCACTCGATAAGAATCGACAGACGAAATAAACAACAGAAGAGAAGAAAAATTCGAAACAACGTGCTCGAAATAGTAGACAACTGTCACAGATCGAGATCCTAAGTGTCTGGACCGAAGAGAATCGCGTATATTTTCATCCTTTCCTCACCTTCGTGTCTCTCGCGTTTATGCTTTTTGTGTTTCTTCGAGCCCATTTTTCGCTCGTTTGATCACAGCTTCGTGCGAAAAACAATAATCGGCGTCTCTTAGCGTTATCTCCTCGTAACAGCCGCGCTATCCGTTGCGTATACAGACAACACAGTAGTAGCTGCCATTGATGACGTCACGTTCGTCTGTCCACTGTTTCGATTATAACTTGCGTGAAACACCGGCATGCGCGCGAACTGTCATGGTGGCGCGTCGCCCGCGCGATTCGGATACTAGTGTTCGCGTTATTCCAGTAATATATACTCAAACTATCATCGAGCTATCTTTCTTTCTCATTGACTGAAGAAATAGCAACCGAAAGTGGGCGATATTTCGAAGCGCGCTTTATAAATCGATCTTTTGATCTCGATATGAATAATCCCGATATGAAAAAGGGTACGAAACTTCCGGTGAATTAAGTTTCATCAGTGAATATAGATGACCAAATCTTTTCTTTTTTTTTAAATATCTATTTCATTGCAGAATTTTCTTTTTACGAGATTTTCATCTCGGTCGCTCGATGGCCGGGGATATTTAACGTTGAAAGTAAGAAGATCGCGAGAAAGAACACAGACCCGGCTGACCTTCTACGAGAAAAAAGCGACTTCGCGTTTCGAACATGGCGACCATTGCGCGTCCGTGTGGCCGTTCGCGTACAGAGAGCTTCGCAGACGAAAGAAACCCTCCCTAACCTATAAAAATGCGTTGCATACCGGCACCCGTTACCGTCAATCGTCCGGCACAGTACTTACCTGCGCCGATCGCGGCTCCTAGATGACAAATCCCTCTTAACGATCTCGAGCGACTCACCTCGCACGACGACGGCTCGACGACGCTATTAAAGGGACGGCGATCAGCTGTTTCTCGCTCGAAACGCCGAGAGATAGACAGACAGAGAAAGAGAGAGACGGAGAAGGAGGGACGGAGACCGAGGAACGCGTTCCTGCGGGCTGAAACTCGGGGAAAAAAATACCGCTCGCTCTCGTGCTATACTACCGTACATCTCTCGATGCGAGATGTGCGTCAGCCTCCGATTCTCACCGACTGATTTGTACCCTTCAGCGAAATCGCCGTGGGATGCGAGATGATAAATCGAATATAGCATTAGAGATAAGCGGGATAATGATATATAGTCCCCGCTATTTTACATGAGATAAATCTTCATATTTTTTTTCTAGACAGGCAGATATTTAAAAGGATTGAAATAAAACAGTTAGATTTTTTTACGTCGAATATTTTTCACAAAGCATTCTCCTGTTTTTTTTTTCTTTAGATAGAATAAAGAATAAACAATATTAATGTGTGTATATGAAATAAAATTAGCAAGACTATAACTTAAAAAAAAATTTAAAATACGTCAAGGAATATTGTGCTGGAAATATTGTTCGAGTGCCTCTTATTTCTTCTCTCTTCTCTCTCAGAGAATGGCTTATATAATTGATGACGTTTTTATGCGATACGTCCGAACGTGATGCAAATAATGTTCGCTCGCAGCGATTTCAGAAAAAAGATGGTTTATTGTCACCGCGACTTTGTATCTTTTCGTAAAAATGTTACATCCAAACGCAAATAAATTTTTTCTCCGCGAGACGTGACGTAATCGCAAATCTCGCATATTCGCGTAATCCTGAAATTATGAATTCTTATTATATGCAATTTGAATGAAGCATAAATTGCGAGTTTGCTAGTTACGTTACTGCACGCGCAATGGGTGATTGAGGGCCCGCAAGAGGGCGAGCCGATACTGCAGAGGTGCAAGAAAATATATTGAGTGTAGAGTATAGGACAATTCTCTGGCGCCAATTCAATATCTACTCCATCTTCTTTAATCAGTCTCGTTTCTGTCTCTTTCCTCCCCGTTCTCATCTCATCCTTTTGTTTTCGTTCTTAGATTCATTCGTTCATTATATTACGCTTTTTTGTACCAGTCTTTGTCCCTCTCGTCTTTGTCCAGTCATCAATCGTCTGTGTGTCTTTCTCTATCTCTGATTTCACCTTTATACTAATATTATTATAATCATCTGAAAGATAAGATAAGAGAATATTTTCTTTTGTCACTTATATATTTCATAACATCTAACATCCTGGGATGTTTTGCTCCAAGATTAAATAAAATGATCTATCTCTATCTATTTATCTTTTGTTCTTTATCTCTCTTTCTCTCCCCGTCATCATTCTCTTTGTCGTTCCTTATGGCCTTATGGCATCATATTGTCCCTCCTCCTCTCTTCGTCGTTATTTTCCCGTCCTCATCTTTCTGCTGTTTTCCTCTCTCTGTCTTTCACTCTTGGTTTTCTCTACACGCTACATTGTCAGTATATATACATATCAGTATACCAGACACCAGACACGATTCTCGCTTTTCGATACCATGCGTTGCTCTCTTTCTCTCTTTCTTTCTCTTATGCTCGCTCGCTCGTCGTCCCATCCCTCCTTCTCCAGTCACTGCCCTTACTCCCACTCCGTACCGTCTCATGTGTATAACGATAACACCGGGCTGCGGCGCGGCGTCGCGCTGCGTACAGTAACGTTCCGTAATTTCACATCGGCGAATGGGGAACGCGCACGCGAGTGACAGCGCGCGAATGTGCCGGACTCGTTCACATCTCGAGTGTCATCCAATTGTGTATTTGCATCGTGAGTAATTGATCGTTCGGCGTTTCAGTCTCGCGATCCGCCGTTGGGTCTGCCATCCAATCAGGGAAAGGAGGTAAAACGAAAAAACACACAAAGAAGATAGGGCAGGAAAAGGATGGAGAGATTTCGAGTGACGCCGGCGAACAACGCTACACGTTACACGCAGCCGGTACGCGATTGCGGTGAGTGTTTATTTGTTTGTTCGTTTCCGTAACACGCGTACACACATACGCGTGCGTACATATCATCGTAGGCGGCGAGAAACCCCACGTGCTCCCCGTGGAAAACGCGTGGGTCTGTCGCCGCGCGCGCGTATTTTTAACGCCGATCGTGTTGCATCTCTTGTGCATGAGTCGCGATAATGCGATCCACCATGTTGCGCGCTATCCGCGTGCTCCGCTTGCCGCTTGCGGCTGACTTCGCATTGCTCTCGGAGCGGGTGGCGCATGGCTGTCGCAGGTCAAAACCCTAGCGCGTGATAGTTCCCGTTCTGCGTCTAGAAAAAAGGGGGTGGAATCAGACATGACACTCTCGAAGAAAGTAATGATAGCTTTCGGATAATGAAATGTACCCAAATAGCGCAAACCTATTCTATAAATATTCTATAAATATCCTATTTCTATAAACATTCTATAAATATCCTTTAGTACGAATATTTGATAAAGTGAGAAAAACGATCTATAAATAGAAATCTGCATAGAACTTCAAAATGAGATCGTTTTAGATACAATGTTCTAAGGAGATTTATAAAATAGTCTTTTAACACGAGAATATTCTACAAAGATTCATAGATAATTCTGTAAGAATATCCTCAAAATAGTATATTTGACACTAAATAGAATAGTCAAAGAATATATGGTGCTATCAGGTATACTGTCTTCTGAATAACACAATTGAGGCATCATTGTAAAGATCTTAGCGATTTGATAATGAGTTATTTTGAAAAATAAAATTCGAATAAATTATTTAAAATAGATTCATTGATGATTAGAAAATGTCAGTGTCGGACAATATTAATATTTCGCGATAATGAGAATTAATTACGAATCAAAATAGAAAAGAATTGTTGCATGTTGCTGCAAAACAAAGCACTTTGCAAAATAATAGACATAATAATAAAATATAGGGAGGTTAATCAACCGCGACTTGATAAAAGATGTTCGCAAAAACATCCGCAATGAAAAGCATTATCCTCGCTATATTAATCATGCATTTGCATGCTCAATCGCAACTATTTTCATTCGCATTATCAAATAATACGAAAATGTGTACGAGATATTTTCTTCTTTCGATAAAAGGCAACAAGTATATGGCCTATTGATAATTTATCGTCATTATCGTATTCGCCTGATTTCTCATCGAAACTTGAAAAAGATACAATCTGTGAACATCCAATATGTTTTATCCTTCGTATCGTTGCGAATAAAGGATAGCTCGGCGTGTCGAGAGAAGCTTTCGTTTCAAGGTCGATCGATCGATCGTCGTCACGACGGAGATTAAGACCAATCGTGTTAGAAGTTCGAAGTAGCCGCGATCAATACAAACTGTTTCATAAACATTTTTTTTCACGTCAGTCTTCAAAAGCATATTTCTTGATGGACTGAAAGCCTTCGCTTATTAAAAATTTTTCTTTGTTAATTGTGTAATAATAAAAATCTGTTTTTATATTAATATAAATTTAATCTTAAATGATTAGATAATTTTAATGATTTTATTTACCATATATCAATATTGAGTAAACTTTACTTAAAAACAAATTAAAGAATTTAATTATTAGAATATTTTATATATATATATGCTGATTGAAAAAAATTACAACAATTTAATCGTAGAATAAATAATTCCAAGTTTATCAAAGAATACACTCTTAAAATGTGATGGGAAATATTTAAAGTACTGTATATAAGGCATATCTGTGTGAAATCACATTTGTGTAAAAGTATTTCGTCTTATCTTTCTTAAATAATGATTTACAAAATCTTTGATATATTTAAAGTGTAAAACTAAGAAAAAAGTATTGAGTAAAAGAAAAAGTCTTAACATTTAAATGAGACATTAAAACATTGTATGTATAATACAAATTCTATTCAATCGAAAAATATATATTTTTATTAAAATATAGAGTTTTCTTAGAATAGTTTATAATTTATAGTTTATAATATAGTGTTAGTTTATGATCGACTGTGACCAGTCTGCGTTCGCATGCTTTATGTTTTCCCGAAACTCTTTAGAATCGTGTGCAAAGCTTGGCTATTTTTATCGAGAAACGATCGTCTCAGGCGCATAAATGACAATTTAGCACAATTTAGCCAGCATTTCCGCTTAATAACGTGACTTTTCGATTTTATTGGTAGATCGGTTATTGACGAATTAATATTCGTCGCTGATATTTTCATTGATGTGTTATTCTGTATCACTTTTTCGTTATAGTCATATGACACATAAAACGAATAAACTTTATCATTAAATTAATCAAAGAAACAGACGTTGTGTTCAATATCGAAAATCGTTTCAAGAATTCGAAAAAGCACATCGTTGTTTAGTTATCATTGCAGAATTACTATTTATATTTTCGACCGTGACATTGTGTGTGAAAGTTACTTTCCCATTTAGATAAATGCAAGATGTGTTTTGCAAGATATCACATTGTTCATTGCATTTCTTGCCGCGACGATCAAAAAAGGAAATGGAGTGTAGTATATCGGTTATACATTCACTTGCATCAAAAAAGCGCCCGTTCTTGCAGATTAATCTTCGTACACGGAATGCAGCGAACTGCAATGAGATAAACGCCCGTCAAATCAGTTGCAAGCAAAATTGTTTGACGCGAATCGATGCAATGCACGTCGCATGAGACAGTAATTGTCGCCGCGGTAATAACCGCGATTATTGTATAGTATAGTAGCGTTTGAAGATGCTTGAACGTTCTGAATTCTGAATAAAATTTAAATTTAATTACAAATTTTCTCACAAAAATATTATTTTAAGCATAATGTAATATCCTAGAGAGAGAGAGAGAGAGAGAGAGAGAGAGAGCACCATCCTAATAAAAAATTATTTAGTCCACTTTTTATATGTAATTTAATGAATCTCGCAAATAACATAACACTATAATTCAATAAAAACTTTAGAAAAAAATCTTTGGAAGAACAATATAATTAAAACTCTTTAATTTTATAGTATTTGAAGTTTTCATGATTATTATAACACCGTGACCTATGAAGGAATAGTAATTTTCTCGAGGGGTGTCTCACTCACCAAAAATTTGTACATGCATTGCGAATTACCGGGAATTACCCAAGTAATTCAATGTAATACGCCGTGTAATTTTAAGTAATGCGACGGACAAATTTACATTCGAGTTCAACTATAGAAGACGTACTTTCAGATG